TTTTCTGTTGTAGTTGGTTGAGATGGAGCTAATTTTATATTGTATTGAACTACTTCAAATACTGAAAACTGTGTGTGTGTGCGCACAGTACCATTCTGGTACCTGGTTAACGTTGACTATAGACACATGCAGGTCAGATGTTCTCCCTGAAGAGAAATGGCTGTTTTTGTTGTTGATTTGTTTTAGGCTTAGAACTTTTCATGCTTTGTTGCTAATCTTTTTAGTAATACATCCCACATTTCTGATGAGTTCTGTTAATTAGATGATTATAAAAAAGTTGAATTGTGTTTAAGTTAGGGGACCTTGTGGCAGATTTTATTTATACAGCGTATGTGAAAAAAAGTACATTCACTCAAGACAGTTTTTTGGTACTTGTACTTCAGTTGAGTAATTCAATTTTATGCCACTTATAGTACTTCACCAATACATTTCAGAGGAAAATATATATATATATATATAATAACGTTTTAGTCCATTACATTTATCTGAAACATACAGATAATAGCTACTTTGTAGATTCCGGTTTGGCATAAAATGCATTTTTAAACATTAAACCAGTAGTGCCAACTTTTTTGGTGAATAAAAAAGCAGATGGTTTCAAGATGGTTTAAATAACTGTACGACGCCATAAAAGTTTAAATTATCCAACATTTCATTTTTGATTTGATGTCTCTAATAATACTGTGCTTTTACTGAAGAAGGATTATAATTTCATTATAAATAAAAAGAAACCTACAGATTGAATTTTAGACATAAGGGTAAAAATTCTGAGGAGAAATTAGCTGTTTCCAGCAATGCATCAGATCACAACAACAAAAGGGAGTCTGTGTCCATGACTGTCCATGACAAAGTTCAGTAGTAGGTGGTAGTGAGTCTGGGCGGTGTAATGTACTGAGTCGGCCTTTTTTTTTTTTTACAATTACAATGACATTTCACAATTTTCTTTCATGGTGAATTACACTGAACAAAATTATAAACGCAACACTTTTGTTTTTGCCTCCATTCATCATGGGCTGAACTCAAAGATCTAAGACTTTCTCTATGTACACAAAAGGACTATTTCTCTCAAATATTGTTCACAGATCTGTCAAAATCTGTGTTAGTGAGCACTTCTCCTTTGCCAAGATAATCCATCCACCTCACAGGTGTGGACAGCATCAGACAGCATGGGTATTGCACAGGTGTGCCTTAGGCTGGCCACAATAAAAGGCCACTGCACATTTTTGAGTGGGCTTTTATTGTGGCCAGGTGGGTTGCACAGGTTGCAAACAAAGTTAAGTTAAATGTTTCCCCACTGCACCAATATTTTTTCCATGTATTAAGTCCATGTGGGCCGCTAGGCACTTTTACAACCTTGTTTCCAAAATAGTTGGCAGGCTGTGTAAAATGTAAATAAAAATGTGCCAAACATTGAAACCACATATTTTATTGTTTTTGGAAAATTATATGCCCATTTCGAATTTGATGCCAGCAACACAGACACCAACATTTTTGGAAATGGGGTTGTATGTGCATGATCAATAAATACCTGTTTGCACAGTAGTCTGGGAGAAATCATCATATTTACAGGCTGATCTTATGTTTTGTATATAATATCTTAATCTACAAAGTAACTCCTAACAGCTACTGCTATAAGTAATAGGTGTAGAGAAATGTAGTTAAGTAAAAAGTACAATATTTCACTGTAAAACTTAAAAGTATAAAGTTCAATAAAATGGAAATAAAGTACCTCAAAGTTGTACAGTACTTGATAAAATGCACCAGAATAAAGCCAGATTTCAAGATCGTCAGTCAGGGTCATGCAACAAAACCCTGCACAGTGTACACACAGCTGGCAGAGCAGAATGTGAGGGCAACGGTGTATGAAAGACCTGGCTCAGGCTGATGTTTTTGCTGGCTTTGCTCCTCAGGTCTGACTCACACACACACACACACACACACACACACACACACACACACACACACACACACACACGACTGTAAAAGAAGCTGTTAGTTAGTCGAGCCAACGCCATCTGCAGCCATCATTAGGTCGGGCATGAATGCAGATTCATGGACGAAGCTATTCGACAACCTGGCTGCAATAAAGATGAGGAAGATAAACGGGGTTAAGATGCACATTAATCTTTTTTTGATTTGGATAAGCGGCTTGCTGTGCATGTGAGTAGTGTGTTTTTGCCTGCAGCCTGTTGTGTTTATGTGTGAGATAAAGACAGACAGAGAGTAATTCTGGAAGAAAAAGAGGCAGAGCGGCTTCGAGTAAGAGACTGTCAGGCCTGAGATGATGCTAAACCCCTTGTTGCTTTTCATAATCTTCTTGAACTTTGGCAGTGTCATTAAGAGATAATGCCGGATAATACTAGAGATCCCACATCGATTCGGCATGCCTGCCAGATGAGTCTGATATCGACCCAAACACAAGGTTATGATGAGCAGTCTTTTCATGCCTCAAATTTATCTGCTCATCTTTAAACCATGTTGTATTACAAGAATCAGGACAAATCTGGAGTATAAATAGTGTGTTTTTAAGCCTTTTCATTGGTTATTATGAGAAAGTTTTGCAAGAAAGCTACTCATGTAAGCTTCATGGACACTCCACTCAGAACGCACAAGTGCATGCTGGTCCTCGGAGACCAAACATTTCAGGACTCAGGATATAATGTCAGTTATTGTTTGGAGTGCCGCTCCAAGTGGCTGTAACAAATCTGCCACTGCTGCACAGCAACAGAGGAGAGCTGAAGGTCATTTTCAGCTGTGAATTTAAGAGAAACTCCCCGGTTAGCAGCCTTAATGAGCGCTGTCCTCAGGAACTCACTGAGCCGAGCGAAAGCGTCGCTCGCTCAGCCAGAACAGAGGAAGAGATGTACAAGAGATGCTATATTCAGTGTGATTGATTGTCGACAGAAAACAGAACCAATGTGGCTTCTTCCGGTGTTTCGGAATAATAATGAAATGAGTCACATATCAGAGGACATGACAGGAACGAGAGAGCGAGGCAGAGGGAGAGAGAGGGAGGAGGTTGTGTTTTTACAGGAGAAGGAAAGAGGAAATGAAACCATCCATTGATAAGAGAGGACTCTCATATTCAGCTCATCAGAGGAAGTTCAGGTGAACTGAAGGTCTCTGAGGTTAGACAGTACAACAGTAGGCGTATTCACAAACGGTTTGCTGCTAAAACAGAATCCCCCCCCCCCACCACCCCCTTCTCTTACCTTTGATCCCTCTCACTTTTCTGTCTCCTGCTTGCTCTCCATTTCTGCCTCCCACTCTTTTTCACTTGTGCCGCTGAGGGATTTGCCCTTGGTGACCTACTGTGTTGCTTAAAGTATAAGCAACAGATTTGGAATATTAAAAAAAAGTGAGCAAAAGTTTAGTCCTTTTATTGATATTTTGGCTGTGGAGGAAATATTTTACCTAATCCAAAGAGACTTGGAAATGCATCTCCTTGACACATGAAGGTCAGAGAGGCGCTGATTGTTCTCCGGCTGAATGATCAACAGCTTAGAGCAAAACAGAGTCTCTTGCTTAAAGTACAGAGGAACGTGATAGCAGGAGAGACGGCGGAGAGAAAACAAGCAGTTTTTGCATTCACTTGGAATTTTCAGGAAGGAGCAACAAACTCTTGACAATTCAGTCGATATAATCATTCCACACAAATACATGTGTGGAACTGAGGAATACTGCCGTTAGTTTCTTTTTCAGCACTTAACCGTTTCAAGTTGTAGGCCTTCTACTCGCACCAGGTTCAACAGTATGTTGAATAGGTTTGAAAACTTTCAAGGTGTTTTTGTTCTTTAAGGACTGAAAGCGGCATATGTTGTACCGTTTAAAGATTCTGCCTCTGTGAGGATAGCAGTATCGCTGCATAAGATTGTCCAAGTGTACAGTAAGTAAATGTCTATCTATTCATCCTGATTAGTTTAGTTGGATTCAAGAAAGTGTCACAAATCCTTAATAAACCTCAAACCACATCAGACTTGTTAGCTCTGACTTCAGTAACAATATTCATTAAAGCTAAAATGGGAAATCTGCTTATTTGCAAGGAGAAGGAAGCTTAGCTTAGAATAAAGTCTAGAAACAGGGCGAAACAGCTGGCTGGGCTCTGACTAAAAGGTAACTAAATCTGCCAACAGCATTTCTCAAAGGGGGGGCGGTCTTACATGGTCTCGACTATTTCTTAGCTGTACCAGTAACTTCCTGGAGCCTCCGCTTGTTGCCTCGTAAACGGTCACAAATTATTTTTATGCTTACACCATAAATCAAACAAACAAGACATAAACTGATATTCAATGTGCTTTAGAGGTGCTAGTTCAGTTGGTGAATTTCTTTACCTTTGGATTTTTCCCCACTGTTTCCAGTCTTTATGCTGAGCTAATCCGACCGTCTGGTGGCTCTAGCTCCATATTTACCCTACAGACATAAAGGTGTTCTCTTCTCATCTAACTCTCGGTAAGAAAGTAAATAAGCATATTTCCATAAATATTGCACGATTGCTTTACTAAATCCTTACAGTGAGTTCATGGGTGGCATGTCAGTTATCAGTAAACATGTAATATTATGTACATCTAGTAAGGTCATTATAATGTGCACTTCCCCCTCCTTTTTAAAAAAAAAACACAACAACAACTGGTTTTAAGGTGACGTGTATGATTTTATATGTCCTAGACAATATTATATTATTTTATCTGGTTTTACTTTTTAATGTATAATTTAAATATAGTCTCTCATGTACTTTGTTAAAGCACTTTGTATAAAAGTGCTATACAAAAAAAGTTATTATTATAATTTGACATGTTTTAACTTTGGAGCCCCCTAGGGTTAGTATTAAAGAGTCACTGTGGCAATCAGCAGTGCCTGCTGCATTTTTCTACAAAGAAAAAAAACATATGCCATCAGTATAAGTTAAAGGAGGATTTAATCACATACAAAATTGAACACATACAGGCTTTAAACTAACTAAATTAACTTTACACAAATAATCACTCCAACAAAGCCAGATAACAGATCCAAACAAGGGTTTCCTTTAATGATCATTTGTCATGTAAAGAATATATAACACAATGAAAGGACTGGAATTCATAAGAACATACATCAATAAATATGGATAAATACTTGTGGACCAGATTCACACGGCCGTAGACGGGCTCAGTTGCAGTTATATTGTGTCTGTGCTCACAGTCGACATGAACACATAGAAGCTAGCTGCAAACTGAAGTGTTGTGCAGGGAACAGAGCCAAAGAAGTGATATTTGTCTGTATGGTAAACTACCACCTCACGTCTAGCTCTTCTGCAGAGTGCGTTGTTGACCGGCGAGTTTTTCTGATGCAGCAGTATAAAAACAACACTGTGTGTAAGTAGAAGGCAAAAATTGAAAGAGCGTGATGGGTTTTGGATCTACTAAGGCTGTATGAATATGGTCCAGAGCAACAAACACACCCAGAGTTTAAATAGATTTTGAAAAAGGGAAAAGGAAAACCCCAGAGTATTTACATCACAGAGGAGAAGTGTTTGTTTGTCATTGGTTTCTGCTCTATTTTTGTCTCTTTAATGTGTCATTCTCTCACTGTAATGTCTGTCCATCCATCCCAACAGTATACAGCTGTTTGTTTTCTCTTGACAATGATAAATGGTCTCAACTTAATATCACTTGGAGACACAATGCCAGGCAAATACCACAAGCGGTGTACCTGTACATTAGATACTGAACGAATGAAGACGTGACGCAGGAGTCCGCAGGAGGAAAAGTGTTTTGAAAAGTCGGATGAGATGGAGATCCGAATAAGAAAAGATAATGACGCAGATTACGCAGAAACAGCATTTGAGCAGAACCAATTACATGGGAGAGTACACAAGTTTGCTTATTCAAAGAGACACAGAGGAGTGCAGTGAGCTATGACAGTCTGTTTTCCTGTCATTTAGAAAACATCCAGTGGACAGTCGACGCTATTGTACTATCAATGCAATCGACAGACTTAATAGGAACCCAAGACAGACAGCCTAATCATGAAATCAATAGTCTGTCTGTGTGCGACTGAGGACAGCAGCCTCTACTGCTCTCATCAGCCTTGTCATTGCTGATGAGTGCTGCATTTAAATGCATCAGGTTCACAGTCATGGACAGTTGTTACCGTACAAGTAGGAAACTCAGGTTTCTTTCACACTGTTTGCCAAAAGGCCCCACACAGGTGTCAAAACTCATCTAGTATTTTCTAGTTTGTTTTTTATCATCAGGAGCAGTTTTAAACAATGTGTTTTGTCTGCTTAAACATGACGCATTCATTCCCATGTTCAGCTAACTAGCTTACTACCAACAGTAGTAACCTAATGTACCTACTTCCAAGGCCAGGGGCATTTCGGACCACATTATTTTGTGTGTTGAAGCCGGTCGTGGATGCTAATGTCAGCGTGTGGGCTAACCTTAGTGACTCTGTCCTGCTCCTGTGTTACGTTCGCCAAAGACATTAGTCCTCACCTAAAAGCCATTTCTAAAACAAAATGTTTAGAAATGCAAACGGTAGAGCAAAATCTAACTTTTGTAGGCCTATTGCTTGTCCAAGTACGTAAGCTAAGCAGACAAACAGAGTCATGTCAGAGTGAAACAAGAGCCTAAGCTTACATCTATCCTTATTATGCTTAATAATGCTATGGCCAAGAGCCATGCAGTTTATTTATCTCTATGTCTTCTACATGGATCATCAAATGGTGAGAATGAGGGGTCATTTGACACTTGTTTTTTAATATTAAATGTATTCATGTATATAGGAGGTCTAATTTGCTTTTTGTTGTTGTTGTTCTTCTATTATAGTTTTTATTTGCTGTGCCTGGTTGTGTTGCTTTGTGTGAAAAGGACATTAAAGCGGTGTTTCGGGAAGCTGCTGCAACCACCTGCCGTCGCCTCTGAGAGACAAGCGCACCCAAAGTTAATTTCCTCTGACTTGTTTGTATCACTTCTGTCACACTGATTCAACTAGACCCACACTTCTGCAACATATAAAACCCATTTGACCAAACTGTGCTCCCGCCGTTGCCCTTTAGACAGAGTGCAATCAGACACAGCTACAAGCACGTGGAGATGTCGTCGCACTCTTGTCTCATCTCTGCTGAACTCAGAAGACTTCAGCTATGAGCTCAGAGTGAAGGGAATTACTCGGTCACAATTAGGATAGGTGGCTGAGCCTGAGCAGAGGCCTGCTGGCTGTGAAGACGTTCAGTGGTTTGGCTGCTGTTCTCCCCTCAGGCTCACTGCTGAGCCAAGATACAGCTGGCAGCAACTCCTGTTAAGTCACTCATCTTCATAATTAAGACTCACAATTTCAGGCCTTCGTCTCTGTCTATCTGCCTGCCCTCAGGGCTTCCACTTGAAAGACCAACAACGGGAGGAGAGAGGGTGAGCCGAAGAGATGAAAAGGGGGAGTCAAGAGCGAAGAGAGACAGACACTTCTGAGAGCGAGGGTCTCGGTGTGTTTGAAGAGGAAAAGTGTGAAGAAGAATATGTGTGTTTTTGCATGAATTCAATGCTGAAAGCTAAAAAAATCAGGGAGTGTCTGAGAGATGCTGTGAGAAATATTGGCACCTTCAACAAAAAAATAAGTAAAAACACAAAGCAAAAACTTACCAGGTAAGCTGTCCCCGTACACACACACAGCCCAGGGGGTGACCATTACCATCACACACACATCTTTTATGGGGTGCCTGTTATATTTTGAAAAACAGAACAGAACATTATGGGGGGAAAATCCATTCATACCAACTCATTAAGGATAGGAGTTTAACATAAAGCTGTGGTATTTTTGTGGTTGGCCTTATAATCCCTACAGAGGAGAAGAAAATGTGACAAGACAGAACAGCAGATTAAACATCAGATTAAACGGATGTTTTTTTCCTTAACCTCTTTCCAAACACCGATTCTTTAGTATGCAATTTAACTTACTGGTAGTGTTAATTTGATTTTGTCCAAACTTGTCTCCTAATGCTCTGTTTTCCACCGCAAATTCAGTTCCTCACATCATTTTTTATAAAGTCTTCTACTCCGGTCCCACACAGACACAGAATCTTTACACAAGCGTAATTACACTGTCTCTGGGCATCAACTATGATTTGAATTACTGTGAGAGGGGATTCTGCCCGTCCTTTCATTCATCCACCGGTGCAAAATCCATTTTCATGAACAGATGGGGGAGGCAGAGGTTTGATGGCTGCGACAATTCTCTGGGCCTCCCGTCCATCACCCTAAACCTTCCGCTGGCTGTCCGTCAACCTAACCCTTCCCTTGTCATCACGGCTCCGTGGTTCTGCAGATAATGCAACTTGTTAATTAGGCATGCATTAGATTAATTAAACTGATACAGAGGTGTAGGTTCAGTGTTCTTCCCCGTGCAGAGTGTTGTCATTGCCAAGGTGAGAAGAGACAAACAAAGGCAGAGAATTAATGTGCACAGGATGGATTTTCTAACCTCCTGTGACTTCATATAACCTGATACCGCTTTAGTGTTCTTTTTACAAGATGTGTGAAATGCTGCTGAAAATCTGTGAACAATGTACTCTTTCACCAATAAAGAGCTGGTTAAAGTGAGTTTAAATGTGCTTATCCTCCACTACGTTTCTCTCGTGAAAAGAGAGCGACAGTGAAAAGAATGTTTAGTGAGGAAGGTAAATGAAAAGTACTAAAGTGAGAGGCGGTGGAAGAAAAAACATTGAGGATAAAAGTGCTGGAGTCAGTGTTTGGGACATAATCCCAAATGCTCCAACCTGAAGTGCTGGCTTTAAAAAAAACACAATTTAACCTTGCAGTAAAAGGGAAGTAAAAAAGAGCAAAGCGCTTGTTCTATCCATCTCAGCCCCCTCTTTAAAGCAGGACACGCGGCAGGAGCGAGCACAGGCACGAACAGCTGTGAGACTCAGTCTGCCCCAGAAATGGGAAGGCTTAATCCCTGCTGACCCTCTCTATCATCATCCGCTGGGACTTCAGCCACTGTCAACATCCTCAATCATAAACACACACACACTGAGAGGAGAGAGATCTCAACATTTCCAGGCTCCTCATCCTCATACCCTGTGTACAGAGCTTAAATTCATGATCCACCAATCATCATCTGTCTCTTTCTCTCATGCCTGTTCCCCAACACATCATGGTTTAGAGGGCTGCAAAAAATGTACATGTTTACAAGTCATTCAATGTAAAATTTAAACCTGCTCTAATCAATTTCGTTAAATTAACAATGGCTCACACAGCAATTTGTGAAAGGGGATGCTTGCATCGACTAAAGCCACAGAAAACCCAACTCTTCACTTCCCCTCAGCTTTATGGAGTGTTTTAAACCTCTTCCATCTAAAGGTTTTGGTTTTTGGGTTTCACCACTCTCACCCGCGTTGTTTCCAGCCACAGCAAGCAGTTGTTTGCAGCAATACAAAATGTGTGATGAACTCAATGTACGCTACCTGCCCAGCATTAAGTACACAAAGTTAGCAACTAGCTGGTGAACATTTCATTCAGGAGTTGGGTGACAAAAACAGAGCTAAACGGAGAGTATTGGACTCATCTTTGCTATGTGTCTGCCATGTGACACAATTCTCCAAATGAATGCTAATGTTGCTCCCCATATGCTGACTGTATAAACAGGCAAATGTTCGCTAATACATTAGCCATAACGACTTTATAAGGTGATAATATGTCAATGTTGTGCGGTACAAAGTGGCCAAAAAGTTAATTTACGCAGGTTTAATAATTAAAATCTCACTTTTTTTAAACAACTGAATGGGGATGAGATTATTTTAGAAATTTGAAGCTTGTTTAAGAACAAAGTTGCTAATTCGTCGGCGCTATCCAGAACGACCAGTTTGGATGTTTTGCTGGTCTGTTGCATAAAGACACACTAAACTACTTTGTTAAGGTTGGGAAAGATTGTGACCATGGAAAATACTTACATACTAAAATATGTTTAGATTCAAGCAAATAAAATGAAAAGAAACAAATATGATGTGATCGACAGTCTGGTGTCAAAGTCAAAGTCTATGTCTTATTCTGTCCTGACGTTCTTCCTGATGCAGAGGGATAATGCACCAAAAACAGGCAAGGATTATCTCATGAAAAAGTTTTGAATAGCTGAATTTAAAACATCTTTATATACACACAGTATATGTTTTTGCAGTGTAGTAGCCAAACTCTGCGCATAGACTTGTCATATCTTGTGCTTGCTGAGACATATGAGAGTGCTACTGAATCTAGACAGATAAACTGCTTTGTCTCTCTCTGTATCTCTCTGTGTATCTCTCATGCCTGGCTGACAGCGTTATTTCTCCTCATTAGACCAAACACGTAAAAACTCCCAAATAAAGAAGAAACAGATGAGTGAAAGGAACTTCACCCTGCTGCATCACCGTCATTAATTCACAGCACACAATCTCACAGCAACACAAATGATGAGAAAAGGCAAAGCAGATGTGGGATTACTGAGAGGAGTTGAGACAAACTGTCATCAAAGGATCAAATTAACTTGTGACTATGACTGGGGTGGATGTCTGACACTTTAGAAAAATGACTGATGTGTGGTGCAATGAAACTGAATTGTGTTTTCCATTTTCCTCTGGGGGTTTAGCATCTGATCTAAAGTAATGGTCTCACACTGACAAGAAGATACAATGCTAATAATCAAATAATTCAATTACAATCGCCTCTGATTCAAAGAAAATCACTCAAATCGGTTTCAGAATAACTCGCTTTAAGTCAAGCACAATGTCTTCCAAAGAACAAACCAAAAGCAGCAGAGTCAAGAAATAAACACTGAGGATTTGTAAAAAATAATAATGGTGTTCAACAGACAAAAGGCTCAAGTGAACAACACGGATGTCTTCCTTGACTCGTCTGATTTTGATACGGCATTTTCAGTGATGTCGTCCCTATTTATAGTTTGTACTAAACCACTTCTCTCCGAAGAATGTTCGGTGTGGACCTCAAAGGTATATATATTTTTTTCAGAAACAAGTCAGCGTAGCCCCATGTGTCAGGTCACCGTTGAGCTCAGAGGAGGAGTAACTGGGTCGAGTGTTAGCGGGTGGGTGAGAAACAGACAAGTTAAGACAGGAAAGTAAAGCAGGTTAAGGAAAGTAAAAAGAGTACAAAGGGATTCTGTTGTTGTCCCGGTGAAGCCTGGCAGCACTTTGGCAGGCCTCAGAGTTGACTATGATACAGGCTGACTCGAAGAGCCAGGGGTGGAGCTAAGGGCAGCGCAGGGTTGTGCAGGGAGGGCAGGGAGGGCAGAGAGTTTTGGGCTGTAAGGTGTGAAGTAGTGTTTGGGGAAAATGCGGCGAGAGGAAGGGACGACAGGGAGACAGGCAAACTGCAGTTGGCAGCAGAGGAGAAAAGTAAAGGGGATGGGTTTTTTTTGGTTCAGAAGTGGGCGTGGTTGTGGCCCTGGCCTGGCTCTCCTCCGTGGTGCCCCCCGTCTCTGTGGCCGTGCTTCTTGTGCTTCCTGCGCTCCCTCCTGCCCTTGTGGTGGTGGCGCCGGTAACGGTGGGCTCGTCGGGCTGGTGGAGCAAACAGAGTGCAAAAGGGAGACGGTGAAATAACAGAAAGGGCAGACAATTTATTAAAGAAGTAAGTCGAAAGGCAATAGTGGAAAACTGATTTTAGAGGGAGATGAATCTCTGACAAGCATCAGAAGCATTCAGATAGATAGTCGGAGGCCAGGGAAAGGGGATCAAAAAGCAAGAAGGTCAAAACCACATGTTATTTGTAGAAGGTAACTGCTTCCACCACACTGAGGGAATCTGTTTTATCTCACATTCAGAAGGCTGGGCGCCTTTAGCAAGAGCACAGTGAGCTAGCCACCCACTCACAGCCTCAGTGTAAGCTTGTTCCTGGGGTGTACTGCCAAATGAGGTTGCTCTGTCCCTTTCTGGATTTCAACAACAAAGAAATGTCATCTGCATTGAATGATAATGACATTACAACTGTGGGCCATAAAAAACAACTTGGTCCAAAGATAAAGAGTTGTAAGGGAAATTATTCTTATCACATTGAACAGAAGCTACATTATTTCAATATTTCATCACTTCTGTCACATTGTGAGCTGAGAATATAACCCTTTATATCTCCTGAAGAAGCAACAAATTACACTGAAAAGAAAAAGGACACCTATTCTGTCATAGTTGGAGAGAGTCCTTTAAACTAATTTTAGGACAGGAGAATAAGGTTTACTTTAGGATCAAATGAGATAAGGTGCATGAAAGTTGCATAATAAATTACTATTATCACTGATTTTAGATGCTAATCTGCTGTAAAATAACAGGTAGCTTCAACTATAAATGACACTGCAATGTCATCATTTCACTCCATCTAAAAACTTGTATGATATGAGAGTATTTGCTACACTTGCAAGTATTTCATTCTTTATGCACAAAGAATGGAGTATAATCATGGAGCATGATATTGAGTATAAAAGTCATATTTTACATATAGAACATTTACTTCAGAGCATTTTCAGGTCTTAGCACACATCTTTTGTATTTAACGAAGGGTCAGCCAATTGTAAAATAAATAAATCCAGCATAAAGCACATCAAAGGAGACCCAACCACTTATAACTAAGCCCAGGGGATTTTAATTCAGTCTGCAACCACTATAATCTTTTTGCTTGCAATTATTAATAATGAGAGCAGGGATGGCAAGCCTGAAAGTACACGGTGACAGCAGATCCTGAGGGCAGTTCATGTAGGAGGTTTGTCCTATGGAGGTGTGGGTGCTAAAAATAAGAAAATGTAAATGTGAAAATGACCTAACAAATGGAAATATTGCTTTAAGAATTGTTGTCTGCCATCCCGGCGGTGAAAATCCTGTCGTGTAAAACTCACATTTTATGCAGATGATTTTAGGCCGGTCCCACTTGCCGTTGGCGCGACACTTAGCAGTGGGCACATGGCGCTGCAGGAAGCCGTCTGCGCACTGGTAGCGCACTACTGAGTGGATGTCATAGTGGGAACGCTTCCGACCAATCAGGAATGCATTATCCACAGTGGGTGGGGCTCCGCAAAGCACTATAGGGCAAGAAAAGAGACGGCACAAGACAGAACATATTATTAATAAATATATTTAATAAATGGGATCCATACAGGACGATTACCTGGATTCACCTTATCAGCTTAAACAGTTAAATGTCCCTTATGGTTTCTAAATTCAGTATGTATTCTGACTTCTGACTTTAAGGCATACAAACCTTTTAGAAAACTACTCACAGCACAAACATCAAAATGTGGATTTAGTGTCTGCAGGACAGCTTGTCTGTCCAAGTCTCTGAGTGAGTGGGCTGCTGTCAAAGTAACATAGCTGTTTTAGACACATCAAGAGTTGGGGAAAAATCTGAAAAATGTTTACACAAGCTGAGATGGAGAGAGGACTGACACTCTGGTCAGAGACTGACAGGACGGACAAGCCTCAGGGAGGCACTCAGACAACTTCACAGGTTTTTTAACTCTCTTGTTATGGGGGTGTGATTTTCCCGCGGTGGAGGCAGCTGGAAGATATGTAGTAACTCTGGGTGTCCCTAGATGGCAGTCCTGCAGCTGACGCCACGCCTACGCCTGCCTTTAAACATAAATGTGCACCAAAGGTTTTGAGTTTTTAGTCACATCCTTGAATTGCCATTTCATTCATGATAATCTTTGATTTAAAATGAGCTAGGTGCACAATATAGCTGTGATTAATCATTACAATGCACGGCTGCTGAACCCATTATCAGATAGTCAGAGGTGGAAGAAGCTCTATTGTGACGTCAGGGCACTGAGGAGATTTTAAGTGAGAAGCAGGCTTGTCACTGAATGACTAGATATGGCTTGTAATCTTTAGTGCAGCGGTTCCTGAACTGTAATCTTTATCAACCACACTGCTTTCTAAATAAATTATGCTAACTTGAATCTTGATGCTTTGCTAGCATCAGAGCGTTCTGTTTTATTGTTTCAATATTATTCAGAATCTTGTCTATTTTTTTTTTTTACAGCAAACATTTTGACTTGTCTGCTCCCACCCAGGGGTGTCCACCCCAACATTTAGGAACTACTGCTCTCATGTAATTCAATTATTTTGACGTGGTAGCAGTATGTCTCCATCATGCTACCTTTGTGCAATTTCAATAGTTTCCAGCTGTACCACCACTTACAGTTGGCTACCAATGCACTGTATGTACTTGTATCTGCCAGGGCTCCTGCTGTACCATTATTCATTGGCATTCATTATTCAAGTTTTTCCAGTTTGCAGGTATCTATTTTTAGGGGCATATGCAAGCAAAATACTCTGTAAAACAATGTATCATCCATCCTGGTCCCCTCACGCAGCTGTTCTTCTTCTTCTTCTGATTTTTCTTGTTCTATTGGCGCGTGCCGTTGATTTCCCATCATTGTTACAGGTAATGTTCTACATACTGCCACCTGCTTTACCGGAGAGGAATGTAGCAAACATTTGAAACACGCCCAGTGGAGTGATTTTAATATTTATGACATCCAAATGAAATTCACATTCTTTCTTAACATTTTGCCTTTATGATGGTGAAAACCAAAGTAAACGTAGGCCCTGATCAGGATTACACAGTACCATTACTCATACTCAACTGATGTTAATGGTACTATCAGCCCTGACCTGTACACCAACCCATGCCATCCCTCAACAAAAATCCCATTTTGAGCTCCTTTCAAAGAGAAAACTAAGAGCTTGCTAATAGACTGAATGGTTGACGCTGCCCCTGTCAAAGCTACCTATTTTACCTACCTCAGCAACTACCACAAAATGTGATTTACACACTTCAGTGCTAAAAGCAGTCATGAGAGGACTTAATCAGCAATCAGAAAATGTTTACAATGCCTCTTAATTCCCTTGTCCTTGTCCTAATACCTCTTAAATTCTTAATAAGGTAAAGCAGTGTCATTAACTCTGATGAAAGGTTTAATACCACATTTACAGTTTAATGTGTTGTGGAAGGAAGGGGCAAAAAGCACTTTCCTCCTCACTTGAGACGATCACTGACTCAACTCAAATGCAAGGCTAAAAGGTACTTTTCCATTAGCCCTCACCTATGTTCACTGTTGAATGGCTTCTCACAGTGGGGGCAAGCAAAGTCAGAATGTATTGAAGCAGGGATAAAAGAAAATGTCACTAAACTCAGAAAAAGCAAATGGAGCCATGATTTTATGGGAGACGCTTTATGTCAGAAAGGTCTTTGGTAGAATAAAGCCTGAAGGATACACAGGTCTGCTGCCCAGGGAGAAACTGAGTTTCTTAGAAAAAGACCATAAAAATGTACTCCAGCTGCTTCCCAATTTTTTAAGCACTGACTTTAATCATTAAAATTTTAAAAAAAGAAAGAAACATATAGTTATATATAGTTATACTATACAATATAGTTAAAGCTGCCTTAATCAATACTTGTATATATTCTAATAATGGATTAAGTGATTATTTGTAATGTGTGGCTTATTATATGGGTGATAATTATACATTAATTATCACCCGACTTTGCAGTTCCCCTCAGCTCTGTGGAGCATTTAACGTCTTTCAGCTCATTGTTGTGATTTTGCGACCTGCAACTTTACTGTTTTGGTTCACTGTCACACTGCTCTCATCAGGTTTGTTTCCAGATACAGCACGCGTCCGTTTTAGGTTAAAAAAAAGGCTCTGATAAATACACTGTCCAGCCAGTGAACAGATATTTCCTCAGGAATTAGTGGAGTCCAAAACAGTGCTAAAGGCAAGAGAATAGTGGTTCTGTTGAGTGGCTTGAAAAACAACTTTAAATTAATTGCTAACATTCTGCTGGATGGATATATATTAGGCATGCTAACATGTTGCCATTCCAACTAAATAAGGTGAAAATATGTCAGTGTTGTTTCCCCCAAGTAGCCAAATAAATTTCATTAATACATATTTTTTATTCACTGTCATTACTTGGCCAGATATTGCTGCAGTGAGTGGAGTGCAAAGCTGAGAAAGGGCAACACAAAAACACACACACACAAAAATTTAAATGTGCAAGCGTTATATATAACTATGCTCATTTAAAATGTCTGGACCATAACTTGGGAGAAGAACAAAGAGGAGAAGTCAAAAGTCAAAAAAAAAAGGAACAAAGAAAAGGGAATAAAGGGAAGTGTTGGTGAAGAGATGGAAAATGCAGGAGATGGAGAAGAAAGACAGAAGATCAAGAGAGAAGGGTACCAGCACTAGAGAGTAAGGAAGCTGAAGAGGAGAGCTGATTTGTGCAGAGGGAAAAGAAGGAGATTCACAGCAGTGGTAGAGTTTTTAAAGAGTTTTCTTAGTATGTTCACAGTATGTATCCTTATTGACGTTCAAAATGTAAAATGAATGTACATTACTGTATGTAAAGCTTACACATGGCATAGCTGTCGTACTTTGCAGCAGCTGATTTAAGGTATTTAAGTTTAGCCAACATTAGACGCTAAGAGGAAGTTAACTCCGGCGTGCAGGTTACATGCAGTGTGTGTGCTGTAGCTGCATACTTGAAAAACAGCATGTTTCTAGAGATATTTTCTGTCACCTAGTGCGTGTGTCTGTGTGGCAGGGGGTAGTCAGTGTGAGTTAGTGGCATGGGGCGAGCTGCAGACAGTTAGATGCTGTTTCCTCTCAGCACTCCTCCATGGCCTCAAAGCATCCGCAGACCTACTGCCAATCCTGTTAAGATGAATCAGAGAGACGTGTGCATTCTCACTGAAACACTACTGGGAGTGAGTCTCACATGGAAACAGTAGACGCGGACAAACACAGTCGTGTTTATTAAATAGCAAACTGCAGGTTGTTTGTGTGAATGTTTGCTGAGGTGCCACTGACAGTCCACACTACCTGAGAGACAATGGTTTTGTTTTAAAGCGCTGTATTCCACACAGTATAGTCAAGAGTGAGATGTACAGTAGGATTTCTTCACAGCTAACATTTTAAAATGCAATTGAAAGCACAGGTGTAACCAATCACAATAATGCACAACAATAGGACTCTGTAACTGGCACATCTGAAGCCATTGTTAAAAGAATAGTTTAAAATTTGGTAAATAGCCCTATTTGCTTTAGATACCTGCATTAAGTATGGAGCTGGAGCTTGGAGACACTAGCTTAACATTGTGTAAAGACTGTAAACAGGGAAAAATACTTACAGAAAAACAACAATTTGTGGGTTTAGAATGAATTACACAGTAGGATTGTCCAGCGGATATCTGTCCATCCAACAGATTCTGGGAAGTCATTACTCTGGGCTGTTGTTCGCCAAGAATTGGTAGCAGGTTGTATTTACCCGTAAAATCACTTGTCACAACTGTCATTTACATATCTGTTCATAAACAGACTAAACAAACAAAACATAAAATGTTAATTAGTAAGCTTTAGAGGTGCTGCTAGGTGGATTTTTTAACTTTGGACAGAGCGATGCTTGCTGTCTCCCCCTGCTTTCAAACGTTATGTTAGGCTAACTGTCTCTTGGTTACAGCTCCGTACTTAACGTAAAGACATGAGAGTGGTATCACTCTACATCTAACGCTTGAGAAGAAAGCAAATATATTGGGGCATATTTCCCCAAATGTCTAACTGTTCCTTTAATGTTATTATTTGCACCAATTTCCTCCTTTGTGGTGAATGTTAGATTTTAGAAAATGTTCTGAAAGAGTAAAATAAAAGAAAGAATAAATCTGAAAGATTTATGTCTAATGAGCTAGTGAGCTGCATAGTTGGAGTTCTGCTGTGTCACAGTGGAGGACGTATCTGTAGCAGCAATGTTTACAACATAAGACAGGGCCCTGTGGGTAGGTCTGTGGCTGCTCAGGTGGGGGTTGATAAAGTTCTGCAAAGGGGAAGTGTGTATACTTTTCAGCTCAAGCACACATATACTCTCCTTCCCCGGTGGCTTCCCCACACCATGGTGAAGCAAAGTGGGAACCTCCGGGTCTGAGAAGTGAAACCAATTTGGAAGTGTCTTAAACATGCATTCTTTCTAATGGCCAGCAGGGGGCAACCCCACTGATTGCAAAAAAAGTCAGAATGCATTGACTTAATGGCAAAATGACGCTATTTCTCACCTGATTTATTACCTCAGTTAACAAGTTTATGGTCTCAATCACTGGTTTCAAGTCTTCTTCAGTACAGCATAATTTTAATTTTGGTCCCATTTAGAGTAAAAAAGATGATAAAGCAGGGTATGCTTTAGGGCTTGGCTTTCTTGTCAGTGACAAGTCGCTACCATGGCATGGCATGACCTCACTAACCAAACTAGCTAGCGCCATCATCTCGTCCAAAGATGGTCACATCTGGTCTTGTCTGGTTACAAAAAAACAAGATGGCGACAGCCTAAATGCCAAACTGGAGGCTTCAAAACGGTAGTCAACAAACTATGGCTATGTCCACTTCTTTTATACAGTCTGTGGGTGAACCTGTCTTTTTCCCCCCAGTCCCTTCTGAACAAAAATGTCTGAAGTGCTTGAGGATATTGTGCAATACACTAGTTTAAACGGACACAGCTCCATGTGCACACACACAACTGCAAACACGCACAGTGGCTGGGTGGGTAATTTATATTGTAAAAGAAAAAAAAAGAAATTAGTTTCCCCCCTTACTTTCAAAATATGTTTCGGCAATGACAGATTTACTCCACATAATGTGTATCCAATAACGATTACATTACACACCAATGGACACATCAACTGCTGAAGGCACTGACAACAGCCTATCATTTCCCAAAGCACTCTGACAGCGCGCTGAGTATGTCATGCAAAATTAGATTTCCTGCCTCTGTACATAGTAACCCATCAAAATAATGGAATAATTTCACAATACTTACATGTCCTGTTGTGACATTCCCTTTCATCCTCCTGGAAAAAGCTCAGAGGCAGAAGACTACGTGACTCTGTCGTCACTATAATCCAAATGTAAATGTAAAACTTGATCTGTGCTACTATCCATCCTTATACAATATTGATCCAGCAATCAAATACTGCTTCTGAATGTTGAAACGCCATCAATATACAACTGAAAAATGTCACTCATATATATTCTTATTTATCAAAATGATGTACGCCTGTACAGCCTGTAAAGCTGAAATCAGAGGCGGGGCCAAATCAGCAGGTTTAACAACATTCAATATCTGATTTGAGGCTTGTGTGAATGGGTTGTACAAATAATGTGTGTGATGAGTCTGGCTCTCTTTCCCCTGAGATCGGATCACTGTCTCATCAGATGACAGTCTCACCTCTTTTCTGTTATATGAAAAAAATATCATCACCATCTGCATGACACATCGCCCTGACTGGCCCTCGGGCGACTGATGAAGGTGTCTGATAGCCTTACATGGTGCTGTTGTCGCGTAATCAGGCCCAGGGGGCACTGATGAGCAGACAAACAGATCACATGAGCTATGAGCATTACAAATCAGGCGGAGAATACTCAGCATGGAGCTGACAAACTCCACTGATAGGACAAGACATTACACAGGGTTACTCAGAGTGAAAAAGAGGCTGACGGGGAAGAGGGGGGAATATGAAAAGATGCCTGTGATTGTAACTGACTGATTAAGGTCAGAGGTGGGCTGGATGCTGGGGACTTGTGACAGTGTGCATCAAAGGTAGTGCAATACCTTGCTTGTGAGGGAAATACCTTTTCTTTCTCAAGAATTGGCGGTTGGCTGTTTCCAGAGATGTGCTTGTTGCCTGAGGCTTTAGAAGTATGTTCTCTACGCTTGTGGCCTCTGATGACAAACCATCTGTTAAAGCGCAAATACTTTGCTTAAGTTATGATCGTCAGTAAGGCCTTTAAGGCTTTTATGATACAAAGGCTCATCCAATATTCAGTGATAAAGAGGGACGATAAGAGAAGCTATTTCATTTAGCTCATTTAGTATAGGTTAAACACACCCAGTAGGGGCTGTCATCCCTCTACTGTTTGTAGTAAAGGCTTAAAATACCCCTTTAAACACTCTATGATTTAATTTAACTGATTATTAGCTATTATGTCCAGATCAAGATGGCATTATTTGGATAATCCTACATTTATCAAAATAAGAATAAGACCTAAGAATGTTTTAAAGAGACAGTATTTGGAGTAAAAAAGGTTATTTGCTCAAAGTGAAGAATAAGACACATTTGCCGTAAAGGAACACCTAGAGCGAAGTGTAAGTGAGCTTCAAGAGTAGCTCTCAAGTGGTCACACAATCAATTACGTGTATATTCAGAGCAGGAATAACCCATCAGACTCAAGGATTCACCCCATATCTGCCTTTTTGTTTGTACTAAACAAAGCCACACATTTTCTCAGTGACGTTGCTCTGCTGAAACAAATATGATTTCCCTTTAATGTCAATTTTATTTGTGTGAAGCATTTAGCACATGAAATAAACACCAATCTAACCTATTCATCTTAATGTAATTAAAAACAAAATATCTGATCAAATATTCAAATCTAATGCAAATTGTAAACTACAATATTCTGAATTACACACTTAGAGATAACATATTAATCATTATGACCAATGATATTTTGTACTGCAGTCATCTTTGATATATAGCTTTTATTCTTCAGTTTGGGAGAAGGAGTAAAAATTCGGGATTTTTATTTTTACCTTTCACTTGCGTCCAAAATTCCACTTTTAGCAGTTTGATAAATACGGGCTCAGATCTACAGCCAAAACTGAAAGCTTGTCCTATTCAAAGATCCAGGAATACAGCCACCAGTGGCTTCCTGCGTCTCCACCTAGCTATTAATACGTCTGTCTTCTTGCCACTGGTCATGAATCTGACCTGTATGCAAATGTGTGGCACAAAATAAGCTCTAATAGGCTCTCAGAGGACCATGTGGTGGCCTAACTCCAGCGCCAAGAAGGGGCAGCTGCAGCAGGGGACATGAAGCAGAGATAGCGGCGTATATAGGAACTTAACCAACCAATAAGTTTGCTCACCTCGTTTTGCTGAGTTTAAGTTTCCTGGACATAAAGCAGAAGTACTTTTCTGTCTCGAGATGTGCTTCACTTTACTAAAACAGAACATTTGGCAGAGCAAATGGAGCAGTGATATGAGAAGTATGTGGAGAACTTTTTAAAGTCGAGCCGGAGGATGATGGGAGCTGGTGAGCAGTAATGATTGTGGATCTGGAGTGTGCAGACTGAGTGAAGAGGTTCAGCGCTAATCTCGTCTGCTGCACAGAGACGTGCATAATGTAAAGTATGACATACCCAGGATGTTCAGAAGCCCCTGAAGGCACATGTGCTGCCTGGCTCTGTGGTTTAACAGAAACAGGTTGCAACACTTTTGAGCTGCTTTACATAAAAACTGAAATTTTGTCACCTTTTCTCACTTTCTATCTTACGATTCTACTCATAGGATTCAAGACCAAAAGTCTGACAGCACAGCAAAGCTGTTTCTCCTTTGCCCTTTTTCTCAGTCTCACTCTGCCTCCTTCTGTCCAACTCCTTGCAGTCTCACTCTTTAAATCCCCTGTCTCCTCGTAGCCCGTTCCTCTTTTATATCCTGCAACTCTCTGCCTCCTTACCTCTCTGTCAGTTGTCTTAATCACCTGTTGAAGTTACACCATACTCCATGCCACTCACTCGTGTCCTCTCCCTCCATCCACCTTGTTGCTCTTACCTGTTCCCTTCTTGCAGACATAGGGCAGATTGTAGTTGCAGGGCACGTCATTCCATTTGCCATTCTCATGAGAAATCATAACCACGCAGTCTTCTCCTCCAGCAAAGAAGTTGTCAGGTTGGTTTTCACGCCAGTTCTCATATTGCTGCGCACAAATACACAAAAGAACAACTGTTGCAAATGAACCAGAGAAATCAATACTATTTTTGCTTTTTTAAACTCCAATTTAAATGGAAGACAAATTCATGGACTAATATAAAAAAAATGCTGTGCAGGATGTTTCCATCTGTGATACTAAGCACCTTCAAATGTATACAGTTTCTTTTGGGCCTTAAACTCCAGCTGACTAAGAGACAAAACAGACACAGCTAGTTCCTCACCAGGTCCATCTTGTCGGTCCACTGAAAGTCGTCTTCCACTGTACGATCATTTAACCCGATCCAAGTGTTGTCATGGCTTAGACCTGAGTAAGAGGTAACGCACAGAAGAAATTAATGCAGACAAAGAAAGCAGGCGTGCACATGCAGTACACCCAACCACATATGCACAAAAACCAGAAACAAGGAATAGCACCTAAGAACATAATACAATCTAATACAAAAAAAGAAAAAGCCTATAAGCTTTATTTGAATATGAATTAACACCCCTCAACAAAAACAGATGATTTAATAATAGGGTGCCAGTCAAATCTCAAACATTGGAAAACCATGTTAAAAGCACAATGGAAATTGGGCATTTATGTTTGTTTCATGTAGTCATTTAGGGTAGGTTACAGTGTCCTCGTCGCTTCACAGAGGTGTGATGTTTTTCTCTTCAGTGCAGCAGAAGCTTGAGTGACAAATAAGTGACATGCTTCATGTGTGTCATGATTTTTTTTCACCTGTTTCCATTGCATCTTGTGGCATTTTCTTTTAATTGATAAACCGCCTTTGCCAACAGCCAAGCGTAAAACAAATTGAAAATGCACTTACTGTTACAGATTGCAATAGGTGTCCTGATGTCACGTGTCCAATGATTGTATATACACTGTGTAAACTCAGTGGTGCAAATTTCGGAGGGGGGACGTAGGGGAACCTCGTTCCGGGAGGAAAATTTGGGAGGGTACGGTGTTCCTCCCCAGATTTGGAAAAACTATTTGTTTAACTGTTTTTTTTATAGGGGTAAATAGCTGTTTTACACTGTTTCTAAAGCATGTTCATAAAACAGATATCATTTATTGTGCTTGAACGGACCACAAATACTACTGCCAATACAGCCACTGGGAACATTGTAGGATCCCTGGAACTTGTCCCTAAAGTAACGTTTCTGTGTCAGCATTGTCCAGGTGTGCTGGAAGATGCAGTGATGTTGACAGGTATGCAATCTGTGATGCATTAAAATCCGAAAGCAGAGCAGAGAGCCCACGCTGGAGAAGTGCACCAGGTGAACAACTATGTTCATTATTGTAAGTAAGTGCAAGAAAACTTAAAGGTACCCAATTAAAACATGGCCATTTCCACCATCGTGTACACTGTATTAGCAGTGTATACACTCATAAAAGTATCCACAAGGCAGAACAGATTAGGGTGAAAACAAGGGTCAAAACCAGAGGATGAGATATCCTAACTTTTAGTTCCTAATATGTGTCGAGCTCCAAAACTGGTGGATCCTAAACTACACAAAATGTGCAAATCTTATAGATTCCCCACCCCCAGTTGGTGTCGCAGGCTCTCTGTTATAAAAGCAGAGACAATAACCCCAGCCGACGTCATCAGGGTTATTTTCATATACCTCCTCCAGAATTACATAAGATATTACACAACTGTTTTGGATCAGTAGTAATCCACATGACTGGTAATCTGACCTTTACTGTACGTGTAAAATATTGTGCTGTAGGTTATTGTTCTTTTTGCAACAGGATCTGGACGGCAGCAGGCACACCTTAGCCTCGGCTGAGAGCTGAACAATAATGCACATATACTGTTTCTCTCTCTGATGCACTGGTGATGAGATTTTTGTTTGTGTGAAAGGAAACATCACTAATGGTGTTTTGGGTTAATCCCATTTGTGTGTTTGGGGGCGTCTATGTGCACGGTTGTACAGGCGCGTGCATGAGCATGCACATATGTAATGGAATTTCAATCGTGGCATATCTGATTAAAATCATTACCAGGCCCATTAATCTTCCTAATGGCTCTGATCCCTTTATTGCAGGGGTGGAGACGTCCATTTTCGAGGCAATTAAACACACTTTTTGGTAACTGTGCGCATGTGGAAGAAAGATGGGTGCTAGATGGATGGAGCTCTCCTGGCATCTGTCCGAGACAGAAGGTGGATCCGGTGTTACAGAGGCTTGCTACTAGTGATCTGGCCTTATTACAACATGTGGCTGTGGAGCACTGCCAGGGGGTGAAAAGCTAAGAATTAGAAGAAAACCTTGAATCTAACAATTAATCTTAAAATCTTATGTTTATAAATGAAAGTGTGGAAAAATCTGGATACATAACGTGTGACAATTACGGTAAATCAAGTGTCATTGTTGTCTTGATGCCAGCCTTACTTTATCCATTTTCAGCATGCATTTCCTTCACTGGACACAAATAGAGTTACCTCACCCAACTGTAGGGATTTTTCACCTGTTTCAAGACAAATCACATCCTTAGAAAGAATATGATAGTATATTAAATGTTCTGTCACAGATACTTACATCAGAGCCTTTAGCACCATTTCATTGCAACAAATGGCAATGCACATCTATTTGACTGAACAGGCTTGGCTCCTGAGGGTGTTTTTCAGCGGGAAGCGCAATAAACCCCTTCAAGGGCCGTTCAGTGCAGAACCAGAGAGACATTTATCACTGAGTTATGGAATACACGTAAGGCAAGAGCTGCCATTGCCAAGTATGGTAATGATAAGGTGGAAGAGTAGATATCAATCAACAGCCAGTAAAAGCAGTGTGTAGCAGGACAGCAGAGTGAGAGCTGGGAAGACTATAAAGGCTATGTAATTGTCATAATTTAAATTTATTGGTGACTGGTTTAAATGTGATTAGTGACTCTGGGAGTCACCATATATTTCTTGAGTTATAGAGGTGTGAAGTAGGAAGAGCTGCTGGCTCCAATAAGTATTTTTTAAATCACTTTAAATTTCCATTTAAAAGTTTTCTCAAATGTGCTTGACTTTCCTCGACACAGGAATGTTGAGTTGAGATTATTATTTGGTACAGTGTCTGGTTCTAAATGCTACAGTATCAGCAGCTGTTGCTATTAAGAAAAAGCTAGACAGAGATGCAAGTTAATACTGCAGCAAAGTCAAAACCATTGCAAATTCAAAATGCTTCGCCATTGCAATGGACAGCACAATAGTTGCTGAATTAATCAGAGACATTTACAAAGGCTACACTGTCTGTGCCAAGCCTGTCCTTGTCCTCTCTTCCTCCTCAGCCTCCACCCACCTCTGATGAAGTTCTGCTCGGCCAGGCTGTGGATACTAGCCAGGTGGCCACTGTGCTCCCTGCAGTCCTTCTCGGCGTCCTCCCAGGTGTGTCTCCGACTGAAGTACCTGTAGCAGTGGCCATGGAACTTCCTCCACGTGTGCTCGCAGCCCTCTGTGTCTGCAGGTGTGGGAAAACAAGGGGGAGGTAATTGAAAAACACTGAGTGATTAGTCAATGGAAAATCCATGTGAGAAAAGAAACGTGTGGTTTTTAAATCGCTTAAAACACCCACAGCCGACAGAGGCAAAAGAATAATAGTATTGCACAGGAAAGGAGTAGAAGGATTTAGCACTAAGAAGAAACATATTATCATTATTTTTTTGGATTTATTTTTCTATCTACACATAGAAAATCCCTCCTGTTTTGCAGCACACAAGAGCTACAGTACATATTGCTTTCCCCCTCTCCCTCTCCTTCTTCCTTTCTTTCCCATCTTGCTTTAAGTGCCCTTTGTGACACTCCTCTCTGTCTCCATCCCTCTCTGCGTCTTCTTCTCTTTGATTTGACTTGGACTTTTAATCCACAGCAGAGGCAAGCCGGCAGTGAGACAGCTTAGTCCAGTGAAGGGGGAGTTTTAATCTATTCAAATGACAACAAACCTTAGGAATTGCTTCCAGTGCACAGTGCTCGCTTGGTAATTAAGCCCTGTCACAGTCTTGTCAGCACACCGACTCCCCCTCCACCCATCCTTCCTTCTACATCGCTTTCATCTATCACCCCTCATCTGACTGGGGGTTAGCTGTGTGACTGTGAGCTGTACAGTTCAAATGTGTGTGTGGCTTTCCGTTCAATGCTGGACTGTCTATGTGTGCATAGACATGGGTGTGAAAATTTGTGTAAATTTGAATGTGTGGAAATGTATGTATAGTTCATGTGGTTCGGGCTCAATCTGTCAGCTAAGCCACCTCCAGTTTCCACTCATGCTCACCCCCTCTTGCGCCCCCTCCCTCCCTCCCTCCCTACAGTGTAGGGATCAGGCCTCAGCTTTTCCTCCAACAAATCTGAAGCGACATCAGTAAATTGGGCAGTGCAAATTGGGCCGTATGGGGCCCTGCTTAGTATGCAGAGAGGTGCAGTTTTGGCCATTGAAAGAAGCGAAAGAGAGGTGTCCATTATGAAAGCCCTTCTATGCTGTAATATGAAATCAGGGCCTCCAAACCTTCATACTGCATAGAGAGTGAAGTGCTTTTCATACTGTTAAGCTCTCCTCCATTCGCTAAGTTGTTGAGGTATGCTGTGAAGAGCAATGACAACATTTCACAAAATGCAACTGGGTCACAGCAAGACTGCCTCCCAAAGTGATGCAACATTTTGTCTCCTAAGGTGAGGTTTTGCAAAACTCCCTCACTCTACTTTGAATCAATATATGTGATAATTTCACTATTAACTATCTATATTTTCTTTCTTGCAGCTATATGTAATAGCTGGCTCAGAAGCTGTACCCAAATGCCTCCAGTAAGTGACAAACACACGCTAGTCACATTAAAAATATGTCAAAAACTGAAATTTAAATACCTTCCTGTCATCTGACTAAACCAAATTATCAGGGTACCTACAAACTTTACAAGACCATGATCTGTCACACACACAAACTACAGGAGTGAATCACCACCTCAGTGTTAAGTGTTAAGCAGATGCATGTTGGGTCACAAGCACGTGATAATTTGTCCTGTATTCCAATAAAAATATGAGCTCTCATATTCTATCTGCACCAGACAATAAGTTTCAATGTTTGTCCAATATCAACTGTTCAATAGTAGCTATTGGTCTCTGGGTAAATGTCTGTCTATGCAACCCTCTGTCGCTTTGTAGATTTAGCTGCTGCAATCAAGGGATCTAAGTGACTCTGATGACGATTGTGGAGAATTGATTCATTACTTTGCCTGCTCAAAGTTCTCCTGGTAGTCTGGGGATGTAATCTGACGACCTTGAAACACATTAATGACATAAATCCCAATTAGCCACTTTAACATTTTCAGCCTCCTCTGGGTGGCTCAGTGGCTCACCGGTTAGCCCTTCCCATTCGGACTTTTGTGTGCATGACCTCCCTATTTTATAATAGATTTCCTTTCACAATGCACAGTGGGGACACTAATCTACTCATACTTCTGAATATGAGTACAGTGTCTATGTATTGTGCTTGGGCCAACTCAATCACTTGGTAGGAAGAGCTGGATACATATAAAAATTTTGTAAAGATGATTCATTCAAACTTTTCCATTGCGTGGAGATAAGTAAAAACCCTTTAACACGTGAGCCCAGCTGACACTAAAGGAAACTCTTGTTACCTTGAAAATAACTGTTCACACTCTGTCTAAACATTCCCGTCTCATTGTAGATCCTGTCTCTAAGCCCAAAAAAGGATGATATTTTATGCAGACAATAATTTCTGGTTTTCCCTCTGATGCCCTCCGGCTACTCTGCCTCAACTCTCTGAGCTTTATGTAGTTTCCTGATGGACAGATCGCTTTACTTGTTTTTAGCAGTTACTTTAGCTGCTAATTATTTCTAATAGTAGCTGCCACTAGTTAGTTCGCTCAAGTTAGCAGTGCAGCTAGCTGTCCCATTAGCTGACTCTGCCCGGACTGGAATCTTGGTGCTCCGTGGGGTTGTTGGTGTTTACACCTCTTGTAGAGGAGCTCTGGACCACTGGGAGGGCCCAGTTTAGGCACAGTCAGCTGCTAATGGCGGCTACAGTTAACAGCAGTTAGCTTACTAGGCTACTGTAGCATTAGCAACAAGTAAAGCTATCTGCCCATCAGGAAACTCACAGAGAGTGGAGGCAGAACAGCCAGAGGACATCAGAGGTAAACCCAGAAAATATTGTTAAATATTATTCTAAATATATGATATGATATTATAATATAACTTTACGTCTGTAAAAGCACTTTTTGCAAGACAAACTGAACAATCTTTGGCTCTAGCTCATTGATGGAATGAACGCTTGTTGCTATGTTGGACGGACACAGTAAAAGACCATTTTGCAAATATGGGACCTTTAGGATTGTTTTCCTATGTTTGTTCCAATATATGCAGAAATACGTTTCAGAATACCAGAGACCCTGATTAAGGATTAAGTCATTTTCTTAAATTTGATAATGCTAAATGAACAGACTGGATATTTATGGAAAGGTTTGTCTTATGTTTGACATTTTCACAGTTTCAGACTGACTGCATTAGAATCAGCATTTACCTTGTAGCACGGACAGTGTGCTTCTGAACAGAGAGAAGTGATTAGCATTAGGTAGAACATTGTTACTACTGTTCTCTTCGGTCTTACGGGACCAAAATCACAAAATAATTTTCTCTGTTAACTGCTAACTTAGTCTTTCACTCTGGAAGCTACCTGCTCAAAATGTTTGCCCCCACACCAGCTGGTACATTGTATTAGCATTGGGAGTTGGTCCAGTTTGGCTCATGAAGGTGGACAATAGGTTGTTATCTACAGGACCAGGGACAGGGACAGGGACAGGAGCGCCAGGGTAGGTGTCACAGAGACAGTAAAAACACACACACAAACATGCACATCTATAAATTAAACATACACACCTTCATTGAATCACACACCTACTGCTGTGGGGTCCAGACTGGCAGTCAGCCCAGAGTCCGTTTGTGTGTAAAGGTAGTGCTGGCCACATAAATAGCTTTAAAACAGGATCTACAAACTACACATTCAACTTTGTGCGAATTCTACTTGGGTATTTATATACATATATAAATTAATTTGTTGTCCACAGAAGAGAAAAAAACAGAAGATGGATAAACTAAGTGCATCAAACACAGGAAGTTGCAGAGTGGGAGGATAGAAAAGAGAGAGACAGAATAAGAAAGTGAGATGGAGAGAGAGAAAGGAAACCAGACATAAAAAATAAACGCATGTTTTCTCCCCCTCAGATCTTCAACCTAGTCTCTGCTGATTTATTCTCCCACTCGCTGACAGTAAGGCTCAAAGACCGACATCACATCAACCTCTTCAAATATTTAGACATTATTCAAGTTGTCTTCTTTTTCCCGTTTTCTCTCTGTCAGGCACATAGAGAGGCAGGGGGTATGTTTCCGCAATTAATATTCCCACAGACTTTAGTGAGCGGCAGTTAGGAAATAAAAGGCCATACACTTCCAGCTGACTGATTGGGTCGTTTATCCACATCACCAAGTGATATTTCTACTGCCTAGCTTTTTTTGATCCCTTGAATGATGAAACGATGTGTGTTTGTGTGCGCGCGCTGCCATTTTGGCTCTTCCCCGTGTGACTCTTTGAAGGCTGACAGCTCAGTGTGCCATTTGCAAGAGGGCAGATGACAGCAGTCCAGAGAGAGAGAGAGAGAGAGAGAGAGAGAGAGAGAGAGAGAGAGAGAGAGAGAGAGGAAGTAAGGGAGAGAGAGACAGAGACATAGAGAACAGGGAGATGAGGGAGAATCTGCTGATAGCCAGCGACAAAAGGTGAAAATGTGAGGTGCCTGTGAGAACGGCTGCAGAATTATTAATGGTTATTATGAGTGCAGTGTTGATTAATGGAACATCCTAATAGCGTGATTCTCACAATTAGGAGTAATGGATGTTACAGTAAAACAGCTACAGAGCTCAACATGAATGACTGATGCCAGTCTGAAGGTTCATTTTGCATAACTAGCCCATAGACATGTCTTTGCAGATTGATGCTGATGGAGGAGGTAAAAGTGAGGGCAGCACAAACCCTTACAGTAAATAGGCAAAAAGTCTGTACACTTTCTTTAACTGGACACAGTGTATAAGATGACGGCAGAACGCACAATCGATATATTAGTGAATATCCATTGTATTGTCTTATTCTACAAAGAGTGGCAGGTAACGGTCTTCCTGTCATGGTTTTGGTTTTGATTTTTGTTATTCTGAAAGTATGCTTCCTCATGTGTCTTGTGTAACTTTACTTCTTGTTATCTGCCCCTCACTTGTATATAGTCTGTGTGCTTGAGCCTGGTTCCTATCCCTGGTTTACCTGTTCCTCGCTTGAATCACCACGACACTATCAGTGTACAGCTGATGTAAAGCACACACACATTTTAATGCTTGTGAGCAACTAGTTTTGTAAAGAGATCACCAGCAAGAGAACGTCACTGTGATATAATTACTGCATAA